GAACGTAGCAGAAAGATTGACCTCATCGCAACATGATACACTTTGAAAGATCACGACCATTAATCAATTGTGCTATTATCTATCAACAAACAACATTCTGAATTAGATGAAACAATATGAACAACAGAAAGGTCGAAAAACCTATCGGCAATAATCTGGCTGAACAGCTTTTCCATCCACGGACACTTTCACGAACAGCGACGTAGATAACTATATAATGAACGATGACAATTAGGAAGGTAAAAATGCAGTGGCACGTTTAATAATTATAATCAAAATATCGTCCTTGGAGTGGAGCGTGGTATATGTTCATCAAGCAATCATGACACTCCGACTAATAGAGATTTCAATGTGATGAATGTCAGAGCTGGTAGAGGTAATAGTTATAATCAAACCTGTTTAATACTTAACAGAATGGTTCCAGCAATGTTACAGACTATCCAGATAATAAGTCATCGGTTGTGAGGTAACAATTACAATGGGACCTGAGAATATTTGATAACAATATAAATCAATTCGAAAGCTTTTAATGGGTATACAAGAGGATACGGAGACAAAGACATTCAATCTCAACATTTTCATAGAAGACAAGAAATGAAAAAATAATAATCAGATCAATGATTATTTCCTCTATCAACGAGGACGTGGTCGAGGTATAGGTCATGGTTATAGTTGTCATGACGACGAACCCTGTCGTTACAATAACAACAATTTCAACAACTCTTACAGCGCGGACATGGGAGACTAACAAAGCGACTCCACCTGCTACCCCAAGTTTAAGCAACTCAAGAATTCTTAATGGCTCATATGAGGGCCCTAGAAAATAGATAGAAGAAGATACGGCTGCAAGAAGCCTAGCATAGGCTCATCAACCATCGATGAGCTAGATTTGCCAACGCAGCGACTAGCAAGGTTGTCAATGATAATGTACTGGGTGGATTGACGATTGCACCATCTTTTAAGTTGGAGGGTAAAAATGATTTGCTACTTGCTCGAGTTGGTATCGTGATCTACTCTTCATGTAGTAGGGTACGATGCCGTTTGTTACACTTCCTACAATTGTATTTATTCGTGCATTCATAAACGGAGTAGTATCCCAAGTAGTTGTAACACAGATGTTTGTTCACTTGCAAATTCCATTATTCCGCAATTTGCATTCCGCGGAACCATAAGCATGCAGTAAAAAATGTGCCTTTCAGAGGCAGTTGCACATCCTGCTATGCCCTGAGCCCCCTTGTGGATTTTATACTTCAGTCTTTATAGGCGATTGGTAATTTTATCATCAACGAACAATGCAAGGAACTGCCGCATTATCTGACGGCTGTCACATTCCTGGCAGTCAGAACATTGCATGTGTTGCTGAACTGCTGAAC